TATTTTTCTCAAAATGCTCTGTGCTTGATATGTATATTCTGCCTCTGCCATCATGACAGTGAAGTGTTGCTGTCTTTTTAATCTACAGGAGAAAATATAATAATGTAGTGCAGATTTCTTGCATATTGATACACAAATCTTGATTTTTCTTAATTATCTGTCTTCTGGGTCCTTCTTGTGTATACACACACAATGATTATGAAGGAAAAGAAAGTCAACATAGTATAATTTTTTACTGACAAATCTTGATATTTCTCAATTTTATGTGTTATAGGTCCTTGTAGCATTGCTCAATCTTTTATGTCGTTCAGATGTATCTGCAGAAACATTGTGGGTTGCTGGTTGGCTTTTGCGCCAATTACATCCTTACAGTGAGGGAGAGTTCAGAAGCCATCATCTTAAACTGTTGAAGGTCAGTTATATTCCTTATTCATAATATACCATAGAGTCACATTTTTTATCCTTACTAACCCTGTCTTTTTGCTATTATACTAATTTAATTATAGATAAGCATTTTGAGTAATCCTTGGACTTAAATCTGTGATGGGTGTTTGATTAGAGTGGCTCTTAATCTGATGCATTAGATGGAATATAAACTATTAGACATTCCTCATTGATCATAGTTCTCAGATGAACTTTATTTCAGTTATCTACATTTTGTTTAAATATGATGGTTGTTATCAAGCAATAAATTTTAATGATTCATTTCTGTGGGTTTTTCTTCTCTGGGTGAACAGTTAGTAAAAGCTTACTCATACGGTGACTGCTTGTGGTGCAGGAGTCACATAGGAAGCGCACAGCTGCTCTTCTAGAGGAAACTAAAGGCATCTGGCCTGATCTACTCATAACAGTACTCTATGATGAATGGAAAAAGTGCAAAAAAGGTATCCTTGTCTTGCAAACAATTAATTCTGAAAATGTCAATTTTGGGTATCAAATATTTAACTGATGTGTTTGATTGTAGCAATTGAGGCTTCCTCTCCCCCAAAAGAACCCAAGAGTATATTTTTTCCAGTTCAGATAACCACTCCTGAAGGTAGGACTGAGTAACCTTCAGATATTGGATAGCCTTGCAGCTGCCTACCTTTTTCCTTGTATGTGGAATATTGATTTGATGTATATCTTTTGCACATACAGATATTCCCCCTGATTCATCATCTGCTGCTGCTGTAAGGATGTATGAGTTGGTGAAGGTTTGTGTTTGGGATCTTAAGTCTCCATGTCTTTCGGTTTAATCAAAATAAGGGTCAAAAGAAATTGACAATATTTGCTACTTGATACGATTGTATGACTGTTGCTTTGGTAACTCTTTTTCTTTTTATTTTTCTTGCAATAGGTTGGTAATATTTGTTCCTTTTCTATCTTAGGCATTTGTACTTCTTCATCAGCTTCAAATATTCTCCCTTGGAAGGGTGCTGCCTGAACAGCCACTTAACCAACCAATTATTCAAGTCCCTGAAGAATCACGTGCCAAAACAGTTGGTCTGGATTTTTCAGGTCCAAAACCAGGGACTGAAATAAGAATTGGTTAGTTTTCTTTCTGCCTTCCTTACTAATAATGCCTAGTCATGGAATCATTACCTTGTGATTTAATCAATCTGGTCTTTGTCATGTGCAGATGATTCCTTACCTTGTAGGATTGCATTTGAGCGGGGAAAGGAACGCCATTTCTGCCTTTTGGCAGTCTCTCTGGGCACATCTGGGTGGGTTATTCTTGCAGAAGAATTACCCCTTAAGCAGAATCATGGAGTTGTTCGTGTTGCTGCACCGTTGGCTGGTTCTAATGTATGTTTACCTATTATTTTGTTCTCTATTTTTTTTTTTAGGATCTGTCCTACTATTATTATTAAACATTACAGAATTCTATGCATTTTGTGTGTACGTGTGTTGGGTATATACATACACATGTGAATATGTGTATATACACACGCGTGTACATATCTAGATGCACATGTTTATGTATGCATCTATGTACATATATACATCACAAATTGGGTGCATAGGACCAG